AATGATGAGGGCAATGAATGTACAAATGTGCTTTACACAATTGATGTATGTATGGATTGTGATAAGAGTTGTATGAGCCCCTAATAAAACGACTAAAAAAAAAAGAATATGCCACAGTCTATTTCTAAATCAAGGAGTGCATAGCCATTCCTTCCCATGTCCTCGAAAACCTTTCATTCCTTTGCATCTCCATCGCCTTTGTGAAAAAGAAGATAACCAATAATTTCGTCCAAGCTAACGATCATTTCTCTGAAGAGTGGGAGGACTGGGGAAGCCCAGGCACTGAACATGGTACTTAGAGTATAACTAGATACCTTACTGTTTCACTAGATGAGCATTTGGGAAATCCAGAGAGTAGGACTTTAACTTCCTGGTAAAGAATTGGAAATGGCACATATACCTTTATTTGAGACAGTGGCTATGAAAGGAAGAAGAAAAATGCACTAGCAGCCGATGAGGAAACTTGGGTCACATTAAAGTTATATCAGATGAAAAGGCTGGCAGGGCTTATTTTGCTTGAGCTTTTAAAAGAGAATTTTCAAACAGAACTGGACTCAGCTGTGCTGGGTGCCACATAAAGGGGTTGGGGGAAGAGGGGCATGGCTGGAACCCCAAACTATTCAGCTAATTATTGAATTTCCTTTTCTCAGCGGGCAAGGCAGCGTGTTGTTTGCTGTTAGGTTCCATTGAGTTGTCCCTGTTACAGGTTCGAGGAACTGAAATACTCCCATGGACTTAAAGCCAAAATATCCCAGTGTGAGAAGCAGCAGATGATTACTACCGCAAGGTTGTGGATTTAGAAGTCATGAGGTGGCTGTTGGTTCAAATCCTTTGTTGGTTCAAATCACTTGCTCACTAAGTGACAACTTAAGATGACTATACCTTTGTTCTTCTCATGCTCTCTTTGCTCTGTGATGACATGTGTTAGTCCAGTAGGCATGTTTGCCTTAGTAAATGAGTATTACTGAAAGTTTCACCTGTCTCCAAGCTTCGTTGTTCTCATTGACTCTCCAAGTCCAGTCACTTAAGCTTTTCATTTGTACAAGTCAACAATCCATATATCTTAGTCTAAAAAGTTGTCTTACCTTCCATTTTGCAACAGTATTTTCAATTCTATAACATTCGTTAAATGAGTGATACTATCAATAGAATTACCATAAACCCCAACGGGCTTATTTATAAGATTCCCCAATAAAATAAAAATGATGTCTCTAAAATGTAGTGGGGACATGCATAAACCATAGCTATATGAATGGATTTCAAACTTGCATTTATTCATAAGCTCTAATTTAAGAAAAATTCACTCTTATGACATGGATCTACTCAATATTTGCCCTCATGAAGCGATCATTGAATATAAGTGCTATAGCAAAGTGTGGTGAAGAAATCAGATGGTGCTTGAAGATATGATAATAATTTATAAATTATCAAGGGTTCATGGGGGGAGGGGGGAGGGGGAGGGGAAAAAAGGAAAAAGAGCTGATTCCGGGAACCCAAGAGGAAAGCGAATTTTGGGAATAATGAGGGCAACAAATGTATAGATGTGCTTTACACAAT